GCTCTTTGTTTACCTCTAATTCTTTCTATAATAACTCTAAAAAGCCTAGGCAACAAGTGGATTTGACAGTTAAAAACAGAATAGAGGAGTTAGTAGATGGGCAGTTGGAGGTATTTGGAAAGATGGCAGGAATATTTTGAAGAAATGTTAAATGTTGATGAAGAGAGGGAGGTAGTAATTTCATGCATTGGCCAGGGAGGAATAACACCTTTTAACCCTTTGACTGTTTTGGTCATATACATACTTCTTACGAGCCAGTGTTTCGGACGTATATACAGTGGACCCCCGCATAACGATATTAATCCGTTCCTGAGAGCTCATTGTTATGCGAAATTATCGTTATGCGAATTAATTTTCCCCATAAGAAATAATGGAAATCAAATTAATCCGTGCAAGACACCCCAAAGTATGAAAAAAATTTTTTACCACATGAAATATTAATTTTAATACACACAAACTGAAAAAGACATGCACAGTTACATGACACTTACCTTTATTGAAGATCTGGTGATGATTGATGGGATGGGAGGAGGAAAGAGTCTTAGTGTTTAGAAGGGAATCCCCTTCCATTAAGACTTGAGGTGTCAAGTCCTTTTCTGGGGTTACTTCCCTTCTTTTAATGCCACTATGACCAGCTTCAGAGTCACTGGACTTCTGTCGCACAACATATCTGTCCATAGTGACCTGTACCTCTCGTTCCTTTATGACTTTCCTAAAGTGTTTTACAACAGTGTCAGTGTAATAGTCACCAGCACGGCTTGCAATAGCTGTGTTAGGGTGATTGTCATCAAAACAGGTTTGCACTCTAAGCCACATTCCACACATTTCCTTAATCTTTGAAGTAGGCAACTTCTTCAATTTCTCTCTCCCCTCCTCCGAAGCAGTTTCCTCAGGTGTGGCCTCTTGCTGTTGAAGTTGATCTAGCAGCTCATCAGTGGTTAGTTCTTCATTGTCCTCCTCCACCAACTCTTCCACATCATCCCCACTAACCTCCAACCCCAAGGACTTTCCCAATGCCACAATGGATTCCTCAACTGGCATACTCCTCTCAGGGTTAGCCTGAAACCCTTCAAAATCCCTTTGGTCTACACATTCTGGCCACAGTTTCTTCCAAGCAGAGTTCAAGGTCCTCTTACTCACTCCCTCCCAAGCCTTACCTATAAGGTTTACACAATTGAGGATACTAAAGTGATCTCTCCAAAACTCTCTTAGAGTCAATTGAGTTTCTGAGGTCACTACAAAGCACCTTTCAAACAGAGCTTTTGTGTACAGTTTTTTGAAGTTTGCAATAACCTGCTGGTCCATGGGCTGCAGGAGAGGAGTTTGGGATTAGGAGGCAAAAACTTCACCTTAATGAAGCTCATGTCCCCATAAAGTCGCTCTGCCACATCTGTAGGATGACCAGGGGCATTGTCTAACACTAGGAGGCACTTAAGGTCTAATTTCTTTTCAGTTAGGTAATCTTTCACATTGGGGGCAAATGCATGGTGTAACCAGTCATAGAAAAAGTCCCTAGTGACCCATGCCTTACTGTTTGCCCTCCACAGCATACACAAATTAGCCTTGAGGATATTCTTTTGCCTGAACGCTCTGGGAGTTTCTGAGTGATACACTAATAAAGACTTCACTTTGCAATCACCACTAGCATTGGAACACATCAACAGAGTAAGCCTGTCTTTCATAGGCTTATGTCCTGGGAGTGCCTTTTCCCCTCTGAGTAATGTAGGTCCTGCTTGGCATTTTCTTCCAAAACAGGCCTGTTTCATCACAGTTAAACACTTGTTCAGGTTTCAGTCCTTCACTGTCTATGTACTCCTTGAATTCCTGCACATATTTTTCAGCTGCTTTGTGGTCCGAACTGGCAGCCTCACCATGCCTTATCACACTATGTATGCCACTACGCTTCTTAAATCTCTCAAACCAACCTTTGCTGGCCTTAAATTCACTCACATCATCACTAGTTGCAGGCATTTTTTTAATTAAATCCTCATGCAACTTCCTAGCCTTTTCACTTATGATCACTTGAGAGATGCTATCTCCTGCTATCTGTTTTTCATTTATCAATACCAATAAGAGTCTCTCAACATCTTCCATCACTTGCGATCTCTGTTTCGAAAACACAGTTGAACCTTTGGCAAGAACAGCTTGCTTGATTGCCGTTTTATTGCCCAGGCCGCACATTAGACGCGTCTTGGACGAACAGTGTTGAGCGGGTTTTTTAGCGGTATGCGAGGCAAAAATCTTAGCGATAAAATGTATCGGTATGCGGATTTAATGTTATGTAATGCCAATGGTATGCGGGGGTCCACTGTATACTCAATTCTAGCGGCTTCAAATCAAGCAGGAGAAAGCTGGTAGGCCCACATGTGAGAGAATGGGTCTATGTGGTCATTGTGCACCACATAAAAAAAATCCTGCAGCACGCAGTGCATAATGAGAAAAAAAAACTGACTGTTTTTTTGGATTAAAACGCTGACTTTGAGGTGTATTTTCGTATAGTGTTTATCGTTGTATTCTCGTTTTCATGGTCTCTTGTGATAAAATGGAAAACATATTGCAAAAATAGAGATGATTTTGATTAGTTTCACGATGAAAACGACCTTGAAATTAAGCTCAAAGTAGCAGAAATGTTTGATTTTTACCAATGTTCAAGAGTAAGCAAATCACACCACATGTTCATTACACATCAACTGGGAAGTCTAATATACTTTCACTAGTGCGCTGATATTATTTATACCATTTTTACAATAACAGTAAATTTTGTCTTTTTTGTATGAATAAAAAGTCAAAATAGAAAGCAATAGTAATATAAGAGGGGCATAGAAACGTGACTAATGAACTGAAGATATGTTATTTTAGTGCCAAGAATGTCTACATTGTTTATTCTGGACTCTATTTTGAAATTGGCATCTTTTTAATTTGTGTGAAATTGGCCAAATTACCAATTTCTGACCACTTTATTGGGCAGTTCAAATCGGTAAATGGGTGGTTTCTTGTACTCAGTTGATAGAAAAAATGGAGTTCTAAAGAAATAGCTATAAGATTGGTCAGCTGGAACAACGGAATTGGCCAAAAACAGGGCTCAAAGTTGGCGAAATTGATGATCCGTATATGTTGCCGAGACCGCTAACTTCGCGGGAGCGTAATTCTATGAGTTTTCGACCAAATTTTGTACTTTTGGTGTCATTACCACCGGGAAAAGATTATCATTTCATAAGAATTTTTTTTTTTTTTTCCAAAAATTTTGCAACATAGAATGACAGTTTCAGAAAGGGGCTTGCGACAAGCAAAGGGTTAAGAGTGAAGAAGAGCTGGATGTGAGTGTGGGGGAGGTGTGTGTGGCATTATGTAGAATGAAAGGGGGTAAAGCATCTGGAACTGATGGGATCATGACATAAATGTTAAAAGCAGTTTTGGAGTGGTGGGTACTTTTGTTCAATAAATGTATGAAAGAAGGAAAGATACCTAGGGATTTGCAGTGTGTTTATAGTTACTTTATATAAAGGGAAGGGGAACAAGAGAGATTATAAGAATTATAGGGGAATAAGTTTACTGAATATACCAGGTAAAGTGTATGGTAGGGTTATTATAGAAAGAATTAGAGGTAAGACAGAGAGCAGGATTGCAGATGAACAAGAAGACTTTAGAATGGGTACACCAAGTACAGTGGTACCCTGAGTTTTGTAAATAATTCGTTCCAGAAGGCTGTTCGAGTTCTGTTACCGAACGAATTTGTTCCCATAAGGAATAATGTAAATTAGATTAGTCTGTTTCAGACCCCCAAAAATACACTTACAAAAGCACTTACAATAATACACTTACACAATTGTTCGAGTTGGGAGCTGTACGAAACTCGGGGTACCACTGTATTTGTACTGAAGGATATAAGTGAACAGTATATAGATAAAGGAAGGGAAGTTTTCATTGCATTTATGGATTTAGAAAAAGCTTATGATAGGGTGGATAGGGACGCAATGTGGCAGATGTTGGAAGTGTGGTAAGTTAATAAATGCTGTAAAGAGTTTTTTTGAGGATAGTGAGGCTCAAGTTAGGGTGTGTGAGAGAGGGAGATTACTTTCCAGTAAAAGTAGGTATTAGACAGGATTGTGTAATGTCACCATGGTTGTTTAATATACTTATAGATGGGGTTGTGAAAGAAGTAAATGCTAGGATGTTATGGGAGGGGTGGGATTAAATTATGGGGCATCAAATACAGAATGGGAGTTGTCCAAGTTACTTTTTTGCTGATGATACTGTGTTTTTGGGAAATTCTGAAGAGAAGCTGCAAAGTTATGATGTGTGTACTTGTGTATTTGATTTATGACATGAGTACTTGTGAAATATGATTTATGACATGAGTACTTGTGAAATATGATTTATGACATGAGTACTTGTGGAATATGATTTATGACATGAGTACTTGTGGAATATGATTTATGACATGAGTACTTGTGGAATATGATTTATGACATGAGTACTTGTGAAATATGATTTATGACATGAGTACTTGTGAAATATGATTTATGACATGAGTACTTGTGAAATATGATTTATGACATGAGTACTTGTGAAATATGATTTATGACATGAGTACTTGTGAAATATGATTTATGACATGAGTACTTGTGGAATATGATTTATGACATGAGTACTTGTGGAATATGATTTATGACATGAGCACTTGTGAAATATGATTTATGACATGAGTACTTGTGAAATATGATTTATGACATGAGTACTTGTGAAATATGATTTATGACATGAGTACTTGTGAAATATGATTTATGACATGAGTACTTGTGAAATATGATTTATGACATGAGCACTTGTGAAATATGATTTATGACATGTTCTTGTGAATATGACTTATGATGTATGTGCTGGTGGAATATGATTTTTTGTGTCGTCATATTATGAAGGAGTTGCTGATACTGTAGTATTTTTACATCGTGTTTGATGATGCTACTGTATGGAATTATCTGTGGTTTCTGCTCTGCTAGTTTATCCTGTCGAGCCTTATGGGAAGCTGCTGCAAAGAAGTCTTAAGAGCAAGCAGAGACTGTGGCCTGATCCTCCACAGTTCATTGATACCATTGCTGATGCTTTACGGACACAACAGGTAAGAGTGGAGTACAACTTGAAATACATTCTAACTTTGAATTAACAGGCCCCCCATTTAATGGATTTTGGAAGCTACAAACAAAAAACTGGCCAGACAGACATTGGAATCATTAGACAAAATGGAAAAAAATCCATAGAGTCTGGATTTTGTTAGTAGCGCTGATGTCCAGTAGTTTTCCAAATCAGTGGGACATGTCCAATGGTTTCAACATTTGTCCAGTACAGGCCAGTGTTCTCGTCCAGGACCCATCTGTTTACATTGATCTCTGAGCCACAGGCTGCCCATGTCACTATTGTCTGTGCTCATACACATACTTGTCATTCAGTCTCCAATTTTTCTTGGATTTGCAGTCTTTTTGTTTGACTTTATTAACATATTAACCCCTTGACTGTCGCAACCCCAAATCCTGAAGTGTCTCCTGGTGTCGAAGAATTTAAAAAAAAAAAAATTCTAATGAAAATATTAAGATTAATTTTCTGATTGTTTTAAGCCCCCAAAAAATATTTTGTGATCAGTACTTATCAAGATAGAGAGGTGTAAAGTTGGCAGAAAATGAGCCGTGTATGGCAATAGTGGCGAATGCCGCTAACCCGGTGAACTTTCGTTTACTTTCATTTCAAGGTTTCTTATAACTTACGTGGCCTGTGAGTCCAAAGTAAGGTGCAATGTACATATATACAGTTGTTGTATACAACACAATAAGCACACAAACATAATTATCAATATATTGTTTACAAAACTTGTTTACACAAACAAACAGTACAAAATTTTTTTATTACTATTGTTTTATAATATATATACAAATGTCATTTACCAAACTGCGGCAGACCAGGACTCGACCCTATGAACCTTATACCGCCTCCAGAGACAGCACAATGTATGTATCACTTGTTTGATTCGTGATTTCATTGCTATATAGACTGCTTCTTGAGGTGGGTATTCAAACAGGAGGAGGCTGAAATTAATCCTTGAAATACCACTGCCACGAGTGTCCTTGGATCACGAGAAAAACATGTAGCTCAGCTGCATGCGTGATCTTGTAGGATCACTGGCTCAAGTGGTAAGGTGATACGTACATTGTGCTGTCTCTGGAGGCGGTATAAGGTTCATAGGGTCGAGTCCTGGCCTGCTGCAGTTTGGTAAATTATTTAAAATCACTTGTTTCATGATTTCATTGCTATATACAAATGTACAGTCACTGGACATGTTCCTAGAAGTTCTGCAGCTTGTGGAACTCTTTGAAACATGGGCTCATACACAATAGTGTTTTACACTCCTCACACAAAACGAGTGTGTCTGCATTTTCGTGGGCCTTTTTTTTATGTGCACAGACAAAACACCTCGTCTGAGCAGTTTTCCCTCAAAGTATTAGCAAGCAGTTGTGTTAGGTAGTTATCCTAGGTAAATGGTCGTGTGTCATCATTCCTTCCTTCCTACCTTCCTGCATTCTTTTCTACCTTCCTCCTACATTCCTTCCTTCCTTCTTTCCTTCCTTCCTTCCTGCATTCCTTCCTATCCTACCTACCTGCCTTCCTTACTTCTTCTTTCCTTCCTTACTTTTTTCCTTCCTTCCTTTCATCTCGTCCTGCCTTCCTTTCTTCCTTCCTGCCTTCTGGTTTCTATAATATATATACACATATACAGTCACTGGATACTTTCATGTAACTGCTATTATCTTCAGCAAGCTTGTGTTGTGTGTGAGTGTGTGCACTTCTAATTGTTCTGAGTCAGGGTCAGCAGCTGTCAAAATGACATATTGTCTCATTACTCACTCCCCCTACCGCCTGTCAAAACAATGGGGTCGGATGCTCGCTTCCCCTCCATTCTACTACCTAATTATCTTTCTCCCTCATTCTGTCTCATTCTCTCATTCTGTCTCATTCTCTCTCTATCTCATTCTCTCTTTCTCTCCCTCATTCTCTCTCTCATTCTCTCTCTCATTCTCCTTCTTTCTCCTTCATTCTTCTGGTTTCCTGGGCATTGCTTTTGGTCACAAACTCCTTAAAACCATGAAATTGATCTTCACTGACACTTCCATCTGTGTTAGAGCATCACTTGGGAAGAGTAGAGTCCCAGATTTGCCGGGTAGTCACATATTTCTTACCGCTAGGCATGCTGAACGAGGACTACTGAAATGGCATTCCCACAATGCACCACTGGCTCCCCAATTTTTTTTATATGGTGCACACTGACCATGGAGACCCATTCTCTCACATGTGGGCTTACCAACTTTCTCCTGCTTGATTTGAAGCTGCTAGAATTTATGCGTATTAATACGTCTATGAAGGATGGGGTGAATCACAGAATTGATGTGGGGGAAAAGGGTGAGTGGTGCACTTAGGAGTCTGTGGAGACAAAGAACTTTGTCCGTGGAAGCAAAAAGGGGAATGTATGAGAGTATAGTTGTACCAACACTCTTATATTGGTGTGAAGCATGGGTGATGAATGTTGGAATGAGGAGAAGGCTGGAGGCAGTGGAGATGTCATGTCTGAGGGCAATGTGTGGTGTGAATATAATGTAGAGAATTCATAGTTCAGAAATTAGGAGGTGTGGGATTACCAAAACTATTATCCAGAGGGCTGAGGAGGGGTTGTTGAGGTGGTTCGGACATGTAGAGAGAATGGAACAAAACAGAATGACTTCAATAGTGTATAAATCTGTAGTGGATGGAAGGCGGGGTAGGGGTCAGCCTAGGAAGGGTTGGAGGGAGTGGGTAAAGGAGGTTTTGTGTGCGAGGGGCTTGGACTTTCAGCAAGCGTACATGAGCGTATTTGATAAGAGTGAATGGAGACAAATGGTTTTTAATACTTGACATGCTGTTGGAGTGTGAGCAAAGTAACATTTATGAAGGGATTCAGGGAAACCGGCAGGCTGGACTTGAGTCCTGTAGATGGGAAGTACAGTGTCTACACTCTGGAGGAGGGGTGTTAATTTTGCAGTTTTATAACTGTAGTGTAAAGCACCCCTCTGGCAAGACAGTAATGGAGTGAATGATGATGAAAGTTTTTCTTTTTCGGGCCACCCTGCCTTGGTGGGAATCGGCTGATGTGTTAATAAAAAATAAAAAAAAATATGTCAAACACGGTGGCTTGTAAGACGTATATATATGACCGAAACAGTCAAAGGGTTAAGTAAGGTGCAATTAACAATGGCTTCTATAGCAAGTAGTGTTGCCAAGAGGAAATACGTGAATCTGAGTATTAAGCAGAAATTTGAACTAATGAGAAAGATGAGTCTGCCATTTCAGTGGCATGGGTATGTGCTGGTTTACACCTCATCTCTCCACCACAAAGGGTAAGTAAATTACTGTAAAATTAGTGCACTTTCCTCTTCTATGCATGACAATACTATTGTACAGTACTTCTAGTTTTTTCATTTTTATTTACAATACCTGTATAGTACTGTACTATTTTACAGGTTACAATATAAGTGAACAGTATTTAGATAAGGCTAAAGAGGTCTTTGTGGCATTTATGGATTTGGAAAAGGCGTGTGACAGGGTGGATAGGGGGGCAATGTGGCAGATGTTGCAGGTGTATGGTGTAGGAGGTAGGTTACTGAAAGCAGTGAAGAGTTTTTACGAGGATAGTGAGGCTCAAGTTAGAGTATGTAGGAAAGAGGGAAATTATTTCCCAGTAAAAGTAGGCCTTAGACAAGGATGTGTGATGTCACCGTAGTAGGTTGGTAGACAGCAACCACCCAGGGAAGTACTACCGTCCTGCCAGATGACTGTGAAACAAAAACCTGTAACTGTTTTGCATGATGGTAGGATTGCTGGTTTCTTTTTCTGTCTCATAAACACGCTAAGATAACAGGGATATCTTGCTACTCCTACTTACACTTTGGTCACACTTCACAGACACGCACATGCATATATATATATACATACATCTAGGTTTTTCTCCTTTTTCTAAATAGCTCTTGTTCTTTTTTATTTCTTCTATTGTCCATGGGGAAGTGGAAAAGAATCTTTCCTCCGTAAGCCATGCGTGTCGTATGAGGCGACTAAAATGCGGGAGCAATGGGCTAGTAACCCCTTCTCCTGTATACAATTACTAAAAAAGAGAAGAAGAAAAACTTTATAAAACTGGGTTGCTTAAATGTGCGTGGATGTAGTGCGGATGACAAGAAACAGATGATTGCTGATGTTATGAATGAAAAGAAGTTGGATGTCCTGGCCCTAAGCGAACAAAGCTGAAGGGGGTAGGAGAGTTTCAGTGGGGGGAAATAAATGGGATTAAATCTGGAGTATCTGAGAGAGTTAGAGCAAAGGAAGGGGTAGCAGTAATGTTAAATGATCAGTTATGGAAGGAGAAAAGAGAATATGAATGTGTAAATTCAAGAATTATGTGGATTAAAGTAAAGGTTGGATGCGAGAAGTGGGTCATAATAAGCGTGTATGCACCTGGAGAAGAGAGGAATGCAGAGGAGAGAGAGAGATTTTGGGAGATGTTAAGTGAATGTATAGGAGCCTTTGAACCAAGTGAGAGAGTAATTGTGGTAGGGGACTTGAATGCTAAAGTAGGAGAAACTTTTAGAGAGGGTGTGGTAGGTAAGTTTGGGGTGCCAGGTGTAAATGATAATGGGAGCCCTTTGATTGAACTTTGTATAGAAAGGGGTTTAGTTATAGGTAATACATATTTTAAGAAAAAGAGGATAAATAAGTATACACGATATGATGTAGGGCGAAATGACAGTAGTTTGTTGGATTATGTATTGGTAGATAAAAGACTGTTGAGTAGACTTCAGGATGTACATGTTTATAGAGGGGCCACAGATATATCAGATCACTTTCTAGTTGTAGCTACACTGAGAGTAAAAGGTAGATGGGATACAAGGAGAATAGAAGCATCAGGGAAGAGAGAGGTGAAGGTTTATAAACTAAAAGAGGAGGCAGTTAGGGTAAGATATAAACAGCTATTGGAGGATAGATGGGCTAATGAGAGCATAGGCAATGGGGTCGAAGAGGTATGGGGTAGGTTTAAAAATGTAGTGT